TTTTTTGGCATAACAGCTACACTTTGGTATGCTGTAATATGAACGGTATATCTATTTGTTCTCGTAATGATGGATCATAGCTATCATACAATCCAAAGATATACATTGGTTAACAACTAGACCATTAACTCAGTGAAGACACCAACTACTAATTAGTAGCTATTGATAGTTCAACTACGTTGCAAAATCCCTCAAGCTAAATCATAGATCATTGATAAACACGTAACATGCGAAACTGTGATATCGCGGGCTAGAGAAGAGGGATGAGAATGATGGGACGATGGAGACGCGTTTTTATCGTTTTGGAAGGAACTGTTTTGGCTACATGAAGGTTTAATATTATCCTACTGTTGTGCAGAGAACATCGCATTGTTCCAACTAATATCCAACTAGGAACGCGCACAGATTTGAGTGGCTAACATAAAGATCTTGTGTGGGTGCCAGTAAATTCGACATACAACTCACAAAAATCAGCTGATGAAGGGAACCTTTTTAAGTTATATTCCACCCTGCAACTGTACTATGACCTTAATTTGTTCTTTGAGAGTGACTTGTGCCTTGACCTGTGCTGTGGTACCTGTACCTCTGTAGTAGCAACGACAATAGTGCTAAATACAGTTGACCTGATGATATTGCTCATCACCGATAGGAAGAATCATTTCGTTTTCTCCTTTCCCCAATCATAATGCCCTTTTCTTCTCGTACTGTCAATTTTTCTGTATTTGAGTGCATAACCAGTCAGATAAAGTGCCTGCCCATCTAAAATTTTGGTTATATCCGTTTATAGGGAGGGGCAAAGAGACAGCTTTGTTACCTCAACTTGACCATGCACCATCATCTATTAGCAGCCCATTGAAAAGGTCATGATGAACTGAATTAGGCGCATTATCCGGTACTAGCCAATCAGGACTACAGTAGACGGATATAGCAGTGCTCGTTTTGTACCATCTACCTTAAGGTTACTCCATGACCAACAGAGAAGAAGACAGCTACCCGATTCTATTCTGAAGTATGAGCTATGAAAGTTCGTAGTTAGGACTATATGCTCTGTTTATCGAACAAAAACTCTCAGCCTCCCGGGGAATATTAGACAACACAGAAGTGTTTTTGTTCAACCTTTCCAAAAGATTAAGCCACATTTCCACTAAATCTGTTAAATACGGAACTCATCCAGGGCATCAATTGTGGATCTAAAAAACGGTGGATCTCTCGAGGTTAGGTAAGCTGTTCTATTCACAGCATGTCCAAATTACAGGCAGGTAGCTTTGTAGGGATGTGTTGGCCATAGGCCCATAGCTGTGGCTTCCTCCTTGTTTCTTTCTCCCTCGTTTTGGACACGCTCATTCCGGGATTATTAGTTCGTTATCTGAAACCAACAGCCATCACATTTTCAATGCTGACACTGACGCCTGGGGGCATTGGCAGTGGCGGACCCAGGATTGGCTGACGCCCCAGGCGAGAAACTAAGGGCTAAAAACTACCCAGAAAAAACTTCAGTTTCAAGGCATGCAAAAGTCAATCTATGTTGCATAACTAATAAGAAATCAAACATAATATGCAATGACAACATTTGTTCCTTGATGGGTCAACTAATAAAGCAAGACAAATCAAAGACCATATGTAGCATAGATCGATGATACAAAAGATTGATACCAAATCAAAGGATTGGTTGATCTGAGCCTTCCATGACTACATCTTCGATAGCAGAAGAAGCTAAACCTTCAATCATTAATTTTGAAATGCAAATCAGTGCATAATATAGTAGGTAAAACTAGTTAATGATAGATGTAAAATATGAAAACTTACGTCTAGGACGAGGCAAAACGCCTTTACGTGTGCGATAACCTTGAAATCGCTCGATGATCTTTGATTCTTCAATACTAACAAATACATCTCGCTCAATGTAACACACCATTCTATGATTCATCCAATCATCACCCATTTTGTTCCTTAATCCAGTCTTGAGAATGCTCTTTCCACTGTTGCAAACCGCAACAGGTAAAATCAATGCTAACTCAACAAGACGGTAAACCAAGGAAAAAAGTTGTGTGCATATCACTTTTAACCATATTCACGGCAAGATGACCAAGATCATTGCAATTCATCAAATGTGGATCACCTCTTGCTTCCCGGATGAATGAGTCTAGTTGGTTTCGGTGGTTCGAACTTGAAAAAAAAAATCAATGTCTTATTTCTTTTACTCATCTTGTGTTCCTGTAAAATTTTAGAGAAACAAAAATGTCTCAATATCAAAATCGGTTTCTATATCTAACAAGCATACAAACAGTGGCATCTAGCATCTAAAATCATCATCAGATAAACAAAAGCATGGCATCAAGCTATCAAAACCTGAGAAAGTGACTAAGTGAGGACCGAGCAGTGAGCTGTGAGCCACTGACTACCTCGCCGGACGCCGGGCAGCTTGCAGGCTGCAGCCTCGCGCCCTAGCCTGGGTCGCCGCCTCGCGCCCTCGCCGGACACGGCGGACAGGGCAGCAGGCAAGCAGCCGCAGCGGCGCAACCGGGTTCCTCCTGGGCCCGGGGGGAGGGGGCGCTGGAACGAAGACTCGAGGGGGGGGGGGATCCGGGGGGCTCTGCCATCTGCCAGATGGAGTTGAGCGGCGACGGCGGGCAGTGACCGGCGGCAGCTTAGGGTTCGTCAGGTGAGGTCGGGGGGAAGAGACGGGGCGGCTGCGTCTGGCTGGTTCGTGCGGTGAGCGAGTCTGCTGTCTGCGGGAGTTGGGCTGGGCGGCTGGGCCAGTTGGCCTGGGCTGCCTGGCCTTCAAACTGGGCTACGCCCCCGGCCAAACATTTTTTATATAACTATAGGCTGAGAATTTTTCTCACGCCCCAGGCAATGGCCTGGGCTGCCTGGGGCCCAAATCCGCCCATGGGCATTGGTTCCAGTCCCTCTCTTCTGTCTGTCCAGTCCCTCTCTTCTGTCTGTCCAGTCAAGTCTGTTCAGACTTCAGACGATCCGCAAGATACACGCAGAGAATACATAGACTCTAGATGGTCTTCTACATGTGAAGAACATTTATGCCCTGTTGGCGGTCTAAAACAACACGAAATCTAGTAGATCTGTCTAACGGATAGCTGGACGTCAAAGACATGTGGCCAAGGAAAGTTGAGCTGAAACAGCAATGCAGTTCCGAGCTGGACCCATGATCTTCTTATCCGGTTCCGTGCCTTGGAGCCCCACATGAGATGTTCTTCTTCCTTGGGGGAGAGGACTTGCTCCCACGAGCTAGCGTGTCAACCTTTTTGGGGGTTGCATGTGCTGCACGCCTGGACCTGGTTGTGACTAGGCTTGGTGCTCTACTGATGTCTTTTCTCTTATTTTGACGTGCAAGCCATTTGGCCATTTCACATCTGGAATTGCCCCGAGATAACACCCCCATATCACCTCCAAGAAGTTGCACAATTCCTCACTGTGAGGTTAGAGTGATTATACGGAGCCTGACACGCTATTCAGTTCAGCGGCTTGTTAAAAATGGGTAGGGCAGGTTCAGGTCCCGGCCCCATATATTTAGTTGATGGACTGGAGGATTGTTTATGTACAAGTATTGCGCTGTTAGTCGATTCTAGGCGGGCTTTCAAGGCTGGTTTGCCTGTTCTTAGCAGTGCCCACTCATGCTCCACTTCGGGACTTGCATTTGGCACGCTTTAGGTTGCTTCCAAGTGATACCAACCCTGTCTCCGGAAAACAAACCTTTGAGAGCAGTTCCTGCTAGCTTTATGGTGTGCATCCTTTGTTACTTATTCTACACATATGTTGCTTTACTTCATGATGAATCTTATACAATCTTTTCGCACGCAAAGCAATCTTTACCGTGTGTAGTGTGTAGTGTTTAGTTACCACAAAATGCTTAACTTGTAGTACAGCCGACCAATTGGGCACACTAACTTGATAGACCAACCAATTTGCTAAATAGATAGATTGCCATTGTTCATCCTGACCATGGCCAGCCGGGTATATGTGCCCGTCGATCATTGAATGCGTGCGCCTTGTGTGTGATTAATTGAAGCGTATATGGTAGCAGAAGATGTACTCTACGTGTTCACGCATGGGGCCGGCCTGATGACGGATCACCTGAGGGGCGCGCCCACGTTCAGGCCGAGGCCGTGTTCGCTGTGCGTCTGAACAGAGCTTTCGGTGTCAATGCCGTGTGAGGCCCCAGGACACGCCCCCTACACCGGTACACGCATCATCCGGCATACATATCCAAAACAAAAGCACCGACCCGGAGGCGCTGTGTCGTGCATGCAGAGGAGGCGGAGCGTCGTGGAGCAGGGAACTGCTTGGCTGCTTCTGATGCCGATCATTGGCTCCCGTTTCACATTCCGGCCGCCATGTGTGTGTGGGAGGGTATTTTCGCGGTGCGTCGCACATGCTTCTCGGAGACAAAAGCAGCAGCAGCGGCGGTGGCGATGGGACTGGAATCGGTGGCGACGCAACTGCGATACGCTATGCGCCGTATCACGTGCCTTTGCTTGCACCGCGTTATCTTCCCTCCTTAATCAAGCGGCTTGGTTAACCTTAAAGATGAGTAAATTACAAGAAACACTGGCGTCCGAGGAAAATGCATCGCATGCCCATAGATAGATGTTGTGTTCGGAAGCCGATCCGATAGGTGAAAGGAATGGATTCTATTGCAACGTGTCATTAGCTTATTGCACGTTTTTGCAGTTTAACTTACTTTTGCAATAATGGGTTGAGATGCTTTGACTAGGGTAATTTAATCATCCATAACGCAATGCACATGTTAAAAACTTGCTGTAGTAGTAAGCATTTCATCTGTGGTAAGTAATTTTTATCGGCTCGCGGTGGTAGCATACATGTTTGTAAAGCGATGGGAAAATTCATGGAAATGGTAAAAATTAACACATTACTCCTATACAATTTGGAAATTTGTCCAAGGAAGTTGAAATCCATTGTTTTAAATGTACTGCAGGAGGAGCAGCATGTGCAGTAGCTTTGCAAACTTGCAGTAACAAGAAATGTCTGGAGTGCTTGATAGTAACAGTTCCTTGCTGCGTAAGTCGGCCAGCGGGGCCGAAGCCAGAGAGACGGCGCTGCAGCTGGACCAATCAGCGCGCGGCGGCAAGGACGAACTTGCCAGAGTTTGTTGCTCTCCATCACCCAACCACCTCCTCTCTCCTCTATATAAGCCGGCACGCGCCCTGGCGCCAGCGATGTCATTCTCACCACGCGAGACGGTGGCGAGCCCGGGCGGGTGCGGCAAGGAGTCGTGCCCCTTCTGCGAGATGTCGAGGCAGCACGCGGCCGGGTGCGCGCGGCGGCTGCCCAAGCGGATCATCCTGGTGCGGCACGGCGAGAGCCAGGGGAACCTCGACATGTCGGCCTACTCCACCACCCCGGACTACCGCATCCCGCTGACGCCGCGCGGGGTCGAGCAGGCGCGCGCCGCCGGCCGGGGCATCCTCGACGTCGTCTCCTCGGGGGGCCCCGACGCCAACTGGAAGGTCTACTTCTACGTCTCCCCCTACGAGCGCACCCGGGCCACCCTGCGCGGGATCGGCGCCGCCTTCCCGCGCGACCGCGTCATCGGCGCCCGCGAGGAGTGCCGCGTCCGCGAGCAGGACTTCGGCAACTTCCAGGTAGAGGAGCGGATGCGCGCCATCAAGGAGACCCGCGAGCGCTTCGGCCGCTTCTTCTTCCGCTTCCCCGAGGGCGAGTCCGCCGCCGACGTCTTCGACCGCGTCGCCAGTAAGCCGCCCCCCTGCCCGCTCCGATTCCCCTTCCGCCCCTTCCGATTCGATCGATCGATGAACCGAACCGGCCGGTCGCAATGCAGGTTTCCTGGAGTCGCTGTGGAGGGACATCGACAACGGGAGGCTGGATCCCAGCACCACCTGCGAGACCAACCTGGTGATCGTCTCGCACGGCCTCACCTCGCGCGTCTTCATGATGAAGTGGTTCAAGTGGACCGTGGAGCAGTTCGAGCGCCTCAACAACTTCGAGAACTGCGAGTTCAGGGTGATGCAGCTCGGGCCCGGCGGCGAGTACAGCCTCCTCATGCACCACACCAAGGAGGAGCTCGAGGAGTGGGGCCTCTCGCCGGAGATGATCACCGACCAGCAGTGGCGCGCCTCCGCCAACCGCCGCAGCTGGTCCGAGGAGTGCTCCTCCTTCATCGCCACCTTCTTCGACAACTGGATGGATCCGCTAGAGGAGGGGGAGGGGGACGCCGACCGCCAGGAAGAAGACGATGGCAAGATCAAGTCCCTGGAGTAACCAACCCGCTCCCCTTTCCCTTAGTTGCTTAGAATTTGTTCCAATTTGATACTGCAACTGCACATCTCGTTCGTTCGTTCCTTCGTCGCGAAGTTCTTCGACAACCGGAAGGATTCAGAAGAAGAAGAGAATGGCAAGATCGAGCTGTTGGAGTATCCGAACTGACCTGCTCTTTCCTTAGTTTCGTCAAAGTTTTTAAGATTTGATACTGCTATAGTGTGTTCCGCCATGGATGGATGTAGCCATCGCTGGTTTCCTTTTTTGTTGAATTCGAAACCTGTTCATAGTAGCTAAACATTGAGATACGATTTGGAGAAATGCAGAAGTGGGTGCTCTGGTTGAGAACAGAGTCTTGGAGATTGATATTTCTGCATGTTTTGGTTTCCATCTCGTTCTGATTGGCAAGCTTATTTGGACCATGCTCATTGAATTTGCAACCTGTTCTTAGTAGTTCTTGTTCATAGTAGTTATACACTGAGATGCTATTTGGGGAAATGCAGAAGGGGGTGCTCTGCTTGAGAGCAGATCCTTGGGAGTATGATATATCTGGAGGTTTCCTCATGCTTATTGCCAAGTTTATTTGGAATAGGATGATTTTTGGTTCAATCTCTAACCTGTTCATAACTAGACTCTGAATATGATTTAGGCTCTAGTTTTAATTTTATTCTTATTTTCCAAGTTTGTCTGTGCTTTGAAAATGGGAATATCTCTGACTCCTTTGCTTTACAGTTCATTTCAACTGAAAAATTATCAAGATTATTTGGACAGTAAAAATAGAGAAATATCTTTAGCTAGATATGGTTCTGCATGTTTCTGATCTAACAATTAACAACCACAGTCCTTTTCTACAGCTTTCTTTTGGAAAAAAGTATTTAATGTCCATTTTATCTTTTGTGAGGAGTTTACAGGTCTCTTTTGAGAAAGTGGACACCAGAATATTATTATCTGAGCATTTTGTTTGGTAGTCTCTGTTCACATGCAACGAGCACTGTAGTATCCGAGCATTTCCTTTGGCAGCAAAAGTATTCTTTTATCTGGGCATAATTTTTTTCCAGTTTTCACGTGCAAAGATTCCTTGCTAGTTGCACTGCAACAGATTTCCTTTTCCCAACTATTCCCCCACGGATTGTTGCTAGTACTTTTTTAGAAGATATTTATTATATTTTTGGAGGCACCTTGCCACATACCATGTGATGATTGTTGCTACTAATGATGTATCCGCATCGTAATCCTGAGCCAGCATGTGGCTCGGGAAAACTAGTTTTTGTACTGTGGGAATTCGTGGATGCATTTCTAGTCATAGTAAACAGTCCTTGACGACACGACGTTGTTCTGGTCAGGTCAGATCCTCTGCCTTTCCTTTGCCTGCTTTGCTGGTCCGACAGAATTGACCGTCGTGATAGTGTGTGCGCATGTTGGCGGTGGCTTTGTTATTGGGGTCAGGCAGAGTTTCTTTAGTCGGTTTGTTCCGGTGTTGCCTGGAAACAGGAAGATCTCATGTGTTAATAATCATCCCCTGTCTATGATCTGTCCACCCTGCGCGTCAAGATCCCGAAACAGCGGAGCTGGTGCGTGGAATCTTGACCGTTGAACTGCCTATGCCATGGAGATGGAGTAGCATCCACTGTCTAACTCGCTTAGGCTGCCATTTGAACATGCTTAATTAATGTTAACTTGTTGAGGTACTAGATAGCAACAGCATTTCTTCGATCAGTACCATGAGAAGAGAACAACGCCATTCCATTTTCAATGATTGTGTTGCGACCTTCGTCGTGATCACGGCAAAGAGTTGACTTGGTCTGTGTTAGAAGGGATAGAAGAATTGGTGAAATAGTTTATTGTATGATGGATGATATTATTGAATCTCGATGGCGAGTATATATTGAGTATAAGATTTGGAGGGCAAGACGCCTCTTCTAGAGATATGGTAGGAGACGGATTACAAATCCTAGACTACTAAATACATGTATCCCAAATATATCTCTAACATCCTTTCGTAATCGTAGCGGTAGCGTTGCCAACAATAGGAGCATTGTAACACCCACGATGTGGCTATATCTCCCGCGTGTCGGAGCACGACTTAGAGGCATAACCGCATTGTAGTCATGTCGCAAGAGGGGTAATATTTACACATCCCATGTACTGAATAAGAAAGAGGTACAGAGTTGGCTTACAATCGCCACTTCACACAATACATAAATATAGCATTACATCATCCAGAATACAATCAAGGTCCGACTACGGAACCAAAATAAAGACAACCCCAAATGCATAAGATCCCCGATCGCCTCAACTGGCCTCCACTATTGATCGTCTGGAAAGGAAACGTAGTAACGTCCTGAGTCCTCATCGAACTCCCACTTGAGTTCAGTCGCATCCCCTGAAATGGTATCATCGGCACCTGCATCTGGTTTTGGAAGTGATCTGTGAGTCACGGGGACTCAGCAATCTCACACCCTCGCGATCAAGACTATTTAAACTCATGGCTAAGGAAAAGGTAGTGAGGTGGAGCTGCAGCAAGCACTAGCATATATGGTGGCTAACATACGCAAATGAGAGCGAGAAGAGAAGGCAAAACACGGTCGAGAAGCTACAAGGATCAAGAAGTGATCCTAAAACTACTTACGTTCAAGCATAACACTATTCCATGTTCTCTTCCCGGACTCCGCCGAAAAGAGACCATCACGGCTACACACGCTGTTGATTCATTTTAATTAAGTTAAGTTTCAAGTTCTCTACAACCGGATATTAACAAATTTCCATCTGCCCATAACCGCGGGCACGGCTTTCGAAAGTTCAAAACCCTGCAGGGGTGTCCCAACTTAGCCCATCACAAGCTCTCACGGTCAACGAAGGATATTCCTTCTCACAGGACGACCCGACCAGACTCGAAATCCCGGTTACAAGACATTTCGACAATGGTAAAACAAGACCAGCAAAGCCGCCCGAATGTGCCGACAAATCCCGATAGGAGCTGCACATATCTCGTTCTCAGGGCACACCGGATTGTCCAAACTTCCGGTAGGCCAACCGAGAGTTGCCCCTGATGGCCACCGGCGGCTGACAAGTTGGACCAACACTCAGAGAAGCACTGGCCCCGGGGTTTAATATAAAGATGACCCTTGAGTCCGCGGAACACAAGGGAAAAAGGCTTAGGTGGCAAATGGTAAAACCAAGGTTGGGCCTTGCTGGAGGAGTTTTATTCAAGGCGAACTGTCAAGGGATTCCCATTATAACCCAACCGCGTAAGGAACGCAAAATCAAGGAACATAACACTGATATGACGGAAACTAGGGCGGCAAGAGTGGAACAAAACACCAGGTATAAGGCCGAGCCTTCCACCCTTTACCAAGTATATAGGTGCATTAAGGTAAACAAGATATAATAATGATATCCCATCAATAAAGATGTTTCAACAAGGAACAAACTCCAATCTTCACCTGCAACTAGCAACGCTATAAGAGGGGCTGAGCAAAGCGATAACATAGCCAAACAACGGTTTGCTAGGACAAGGTGGTTAGAGGCTTGACATGGCAATATGGGAGGCATGATAAAGCATGTGGTAGGTATCGAGGCATAGGCATAGTAATAGAGCGAGCAACTAGCAAGCAAAGATAGAAGTGATTTCGAGAGTATGGTCATCTTGCCTGCAAAGTTCTCCGAGTTGACGTAAGCTTGATCCTCGTAAGCGTACTCAACGGGTTCCTCGATCACGTACTCGTCTCTTGGCTCTACCCAAGGCAAGAATACAAGCAAGGGAAACACAATCAACCACGGTGCAATGCGCAAGCAACATGATGCAAAATATGGCATGATATGCGGGATGTAATATGCAATGCATATGCGTGCTTCGGAAGGGCAAAGATTGAACCAGGCCTCAACTTGGAAAACCAAGAGTGCCACTGGAAAGATGAGTTGATTTCGGTCGAAATCGATATAAGGATCGCCGAAAACGGATGCACGGTTTGCAAATGGCAAGCAAAACAATAATGACACAAATCTGTGATTAACATCACGATGCCATCTAAAATGCAACAAGAAACTAAGCTACTGCACTCTAACATAGCAAAAGAGCATATGGCAGTGATCCACTCAAGATGCTTGACAAAAGATGAACACTGTGTTGGAAATATGCCCTAGAGGCAATAATAAAATGATTATTATTATATTTCCTTGTTCATGATAATTGTCTATTATTCATGCTATAATTGTGTTATCCGGAAATTATAATATATGTGTGAATTCATAGACCATAACATGTCCCTAGTGAGCCTCTACTTAACTAGCTCATTGATCAACATATAGTCATGGTTTCCTGACTATGGACATTGGATGTCATTGATAACGGGATCACACCATTAGGGGAATGATGTGATGGACAAGACCCAATCCTAAGCATAGCACAAGATCGCGTGGTTCGTTTGCTAGAGCTTTTCCAATGTCAAGTATCATTTCCTTAGACCATGAGATCGTGTAACTCCCGGATGCCGTAGGAGTGCTTTGGGTGTACCAAACGTCACAACATAACTGGGTGACTATAAAGGTATACTACAAGTATCCCCAAAAGTATCTGTTGGGTTGACACGGATCGAGACTGGGATTTGTCACTCCGTATGACGGAGAGGTATCTCTGGGCCCACTCGGTAATGCATCATCATAATGAGCTCAATGTGACCAAGTGTTTGGTCACGGGATCATGCATTACGGGACGAGTAAAGTGACTTGCCGGTAACGAGATTGAACGAGGTATTGGGATACCGACGATCGAATCTCGGGAAAGTAACGTACCAATTGACAAAGGGAATTATATACGGGATTACTTGAATCCTCGACATCGTGGTTCATACGATGAGATCATCGAGGAGAATGTGGGAGCCAACATGGGTATCCAGATCCCGCTGTTGGTTATTAACCGGAGAGTCGTCTCGGTCATGTCTGCGTGTCTCCTGAACCCATAGGGTCTACACACTTAAGGTTCGGTGACGCTAGGGTTGTAGAGATATTAGTATGTGGTAACCCGAAAGTTGTTCGG